CCTGGGACTCGAGCCCTGTTCATAGACTGCCCCAGCTGCACTCTCACGGTTGGGATGTCACCAAAGCCCCGCTGAATTACAGCCTTGTCTTCGCTGGAGGGAGGCCGGCTACTGGCTCCTCTTCTGTATCACTGGGGGAATGCAGATGTTGGTAGGGGAACTGGGGCCGGTCAGCGGGAAGGCATGTTTTCCTGCCTGAATTTTGGGAAATCACACAAGAAAGGTATCTGAGCCCTGGCACTGTAGCTCTGCCAAGCCACTCCCTGATGGACATGTCCTGATCAGAGCTGTTTGCCCCACAGGAAAAGCATCAGCTTTCTATCAAGTGGACTCTGGGTACAGCCCCAGAGAGCTTGAAGGGTCCACAGGGCCTGGAGGGTAAGTGGCGCTAACTTGTGCTGAGAGCCGCTGCACCTGGAGACCATGGCTCGGGCACCCTCAAACGGGCCCACCCGTTGCTGGGCAGGGTGGAGTGGGCAGTGGGCCAGTGGTGGGCGCCTCTGAACTGGCTTCTTTGGGCAATTTTTTTCTCATTGTCAAAGCCAGGGAAAGGCAGGGGAAGGGTGCGCTAAGTCAAGCAAACGCTGGTGACTACAGGGGTGCAACACGGAGCTCTGGTGCGAGGGCTGGAGCAGTGGAGCCAAGGCAATGGCCAGTTGGGCTGAGCACCCTGCTACGGAGCTCCTCGTCTCCATCCTCAGGAACCACGACAGCCATGAGGGGCGCCCCGTCTGGACGGCCACCCTGGAAAAGGTCACAGTGTTTCTGACGGGGCTGCTCACACATCACACTGTGATCCCAGGCTGCACTTACTTGGCCACCTGCCCACCCCGAGAAATGAGTGCTCTGGCGCAGAGAGCACATCTGGGTTGTTTTGCTGAGGAGAGTGGGGAGAACTCAGTGAGAGCCTGAGGTTGAAGGAATCAGCACAAGCATTACTAAAAAAACCACCCAGGGGTTGTGAAGGGCAGTGTAGCAGCTGGGACTGAAGACTCTAGAGTGGGGGGGTGAGAAGACCCCCAGAGAGGGGACCTTGAGGCAAAGAGAGAGGGATTCAGAAACAAAAGGTTCAGTTTCCACAGAGTGAAAACAGGAGTTTTTAGCTTCTAAGAAGTGCAAAATGGCTGTGCTAAGTATAACCTGGAAGAACAGGTCCAAAGGCATAGATCTGTAGTGTGTGCTTAAGGGTTCTTTCAGAGATTCGACCACTCCCTTCTGCCCTAAGAAAATCAAGGGCTACTGAGGGGAGCTGGGAATGAAAGCATGGCCCCACCCAAGAGCAGGGAAGAACAGCAAGGAGCTGGTGCCTGATATGCTTCGTCTCTTTGGTTTCTGCGGATCAAACCTAGGGCTTCATGCTAAGCAAACTCTGTGCCACTGAACTGTGTCCTCAACCATATTCTTTGCTCCGCATCCTCGGGGGATTGAACCCAGGGATTTCACACTGAGCTATAATCCCAGTCCTCCTTTTCAAAAGTTATTATTTTTATTTTGAGACAGGGTCTAAGTTACCAAGTTTCCCAGGCTGGCCCAGAAACTGCAATCTTCCTGCCTCAGCCTCCTAGATTGCTGGGATTACAAGCATGTGCTGCCATGCTTGGCTTTTTGACTCATGATTTTCTATAAGTTGAACACATGGGCTGTGACAACCTGGTGGTGTGAGGGCCTCTCGAGTCATGTTCCACACCTTGCAGCACATTCAAGAAAGGCCTTGTCCCTGGCCTTGGTGCTGTGGTGAGCGCCTCCCTTTGAACCTGACGGCCCAGCATCCTAACATACAAGAGGTAAGCAGAGCACTTGCATGCTAGAAGGGAAGGTTCTCTTCCTAGGAAGCTAAATAATATTATAACTGTATTTTCTTGACTTCCAGTCTCACAGTATCTCAGCAGTCAGGCCGAGAAAAATTTACGAAATCAATGCAGCTTTGAAATTGAGGGACTATGTAAGTACCTAATTATACCTGTCTTTCAGACAAAATCTTTGACCGTATATGTCCTGAATTTCATATGTGCTTTCTTTGTGTATTTCTTTCTCTCACAATTGAACATGCAGTTGCCTGGCTTAAATCCAGTGAACATTTGATTGAGGATAAATATTCCCCACTTTCAGCACGCCTAATGATTTCCATCTTCGTCTCAATTATATTGGGTTTCAGAGACCTGCCCTTCTTATCACTAGCATCAGCACTTCATTTTTCCATTCCCACTAATTCTTACTAAATAATAAGGTCAAAATGTAAGAAAGTATTCAAATACTAGCACAAACACTACCCAGCAGTCAAAAGGTGTCACTGCTGACATGGAACTGCTGGCCAGCTGGCTGTTACCTTGCGACGGCTTGATTTGCTGCTGTTTTACCCACCAAACTAGGAGAGCTTGAAACCAGGGTGTGGTCCAGAGTTTGGGGTGGTGGTGCCGTATATCAAGGTAAAAGGTATAAAACAGAAGAGTGCGTCAAGGGCAGAGGCACCGGCTGCAGGTCATCTGGAAAGATCGCACTCCCTGAAGCTTGGTGAGGCCGCTCTCCAAGCTGTGCGTGTCATCGCAGGCATTATCACAAACTTCCCAGCATCCCTGAATCGGGAGGTGCATGAGCAGGAAGGGTACTGCTGCATCAGCCATCCTGGTTCACAGCTGGGGAGCCTGCACACTCGTCAGAGGAGCAGTGGAGTTCTAGGCAGCATGCCCCATACGGTATGTTTTCTTCTAGGCTGATCGGCTGCAGGGGGATAGGAGGCAGCCTGTTATCTTCTCATGAGATAGGGGGCTTACAGCCAACAGAGTGGTGAAAGGACACTTACTATTGCTTGAAGAAATTCCTCAGGAGGCCCAAGCGTGCCTAGAAACAGACACCCAGGAGCTCTCGGCCTCTTAGCAACCCTGGCAGCAGCACCTACTTATGTCTCTAGGCGTGGGGGGAGTTCTAGGCGTACTGAGGAGAGACCCTTTCTTCATGGGCACCCTGAATGCCAAGAGCCTTTCCTTAAAACATATGTGGGAAAAGCTGTGTGAGGAAGTGTTGGGTGGAAACCCGGCGTTGCACTCCATGACTAACTGGCACGTTGGCAGGGATGGAATGAGATAGATAGATGGATTGTAGGCTTAAGAGCCTGAGCCTTTAGGATGGTCTCGGCTGGACTTTCTAAGTGGCTCCGGACAAGTTCCCTCATGTGCAAAATGAGAGGATCGACTGATCTAAGACCTATCAATCAGCTCTAATGCTCAAGGTATTACAATATTTGAAATGTGAAAGACATAGTGTATGATTTAAATGATCTTGGAAGATATTTGTACTCTTTGCAGCTGGAAAATATATCTGATTCCAGGATTTATAACAAACAGAGGGAAGACTTTGGGGCTTCTATTCAGGCCTAGAACAGGCAGGCATAAGGACACTACAAAGCCATTTGCTTCTGAATCAAATCTTCCCAGGCAATTCCTCCCCTTTTACCTTCAGGGGTTGAAGTATTTACTGTAAAGTTCTTTTCACGATGCTGAGGGGTATGTAGGCTTTGTTCACAAGACAGGATATGAAAACCCTCCTTTTAATTAAATTTAAGATCAAGCACATTTTTCAGAATTGCCAAGGCCCACATTTTGTTTTGCTTTGAGTTTCCAAGACCTAGTCTGAAAAGAGTTTGTTTTCTACGTGGGTTTCGTGATTCCTATTTGCAAGCCTCCCGGGAGACAATGCAAGAACGTCTCCGCCGCCTGCCGCAGGAAGCCAAACACCTGAGCTGGGAAGGAAACCTACCTGCAACTCAGAAGAG